AAGAGGAATCATAGTAACCATGATGAACTATGGTATGGTGTTGTGCAAAAGTATATCTGTTTTATCTATTTAAGCTCATTTCTACCCTAGGTGGTACATGTTGTTACTGCCATTATAGATGGCAGGGGGGTCAATTTGCTATCTCCATGTTTTCTGAGGCAGCTCACTAATCAGTGCTTTGAATTTTCTCTGACATCGAGAAATAAATGAGGTGAATTCATCATAATTAACTAGACAGTTTTTTTAGGCTATTGCCAATAAGAAAGGAATTTGGACTCCTGCTGAGACAATATTACATTTTCATTCCAAAGACTTTCTACTTAAGCCTCAAATCATTTGAGGTCATCTTGTTGCTTGTGCCAGTGGACCATGTAAAAGGCATATGGACAGAGAGATATAGTATTTCCTTATTATGACCACAGATTCAGAAATGCAAAGGAAGGGACATCACTGCTTTAGTTGTGATACCAGTAGTGTGCGTTGCATCACAGAGTTCCAAACCAAAAGCCCTCACGTAATCCCTTAGAGTTGAGAGACCCTAATTTTAGGGATTTCCAATCATATTCTTATCTGGGGTGAAAGATAAGCATTAGTTATGCTTTTATAATCCAACTAGAGGCCCAGTGCACAAAAATTTGTGCACTCGGGTAGGGGTCCCTCAGGCCAGCCTATGCCCTCTTGCAGTCTGGGATCCCTTGGAGGATGTCCACCTGCTGGCTTAGGCTTGCTCCCTGGGGGATCGGGCCCAAGCTGGCAGTCAGACATCCCTCTGGCAGCCAGGCAGCCCTCGGGGGATGTCCACTCACCAGCAGGGAGCAGACCTAAGCTGCAGTCGGACATCCTTAGTGATGCTGAGGCAGGAGAGGCTCCCACCACCACTGCTGTACTGGCAGCCATCAGCCTGGCTTGTGGCTGAGCAGACTCCCCTGTGGAGTGCACTGACCACAGGGGACAGCTCCTGCATTATCATACTTATATATATATATATAGTAGCATAGTACGAGCTTTGCTGTAGGGCGTGCATAACCTTGTTA